TGTGTGTGTGTGTGTGTGTGTGTGTGTGTGTGTGTGTGTGTGTGTGTTGGGGGGGGTGAAGGCCCCTGGGATTCATCACATCTATTATTGTTGCCTTTGTTTATCTCATGCTTGGACTTCCATGCTGTTGAGACTGTCTGTGTGTTATGTTGTGACATTCCAAGTGCAATCTCAAAGCAAACTCTCCCATCTTCTGGCTTTTAAAAGAGTTCTACCCCTCTTCCACAATGACCCTCAATCATCAGTGCCAAAGACGTGTTATAAATGTAATTTTTGACACTGGAATCCACAAGTCTGCAATTTGTTGTGGTAGTCTGTAACAGTAATTCAATATCTTATGAGACTGTAATAAAATAAAACAAATAATTAATATGAAGAACTGCAAAATCTACAAAAACACATGGAGGTTGAATGATCCAGAATGTTATTGGAAAAAAAAAAAACAGAGAGAAAATACAAAATTTTCCTAGAATAAAAATCAAAATTAAAAAAAATCAAAATCAAAGCACTGCTTATCATAACCTTTAGGGTATAAATGAAGTAGAATAACAGTTGTTATTATAGATAATATAATAAAAATATAGATAATAAAAGATATTAACAATTATAACAATCTATTTTTTACTAATTTTTATTAATAATCACAATATTGTGTGAGAAGACTTATACTTCATCCTGAGCAGAATGAAAGACAACTAGTTGCTTCAGTTTCATGTCAGATAGTCAAAGGGATTTTTCATCTTAAAGCTGCTATGGATTTAATTAAACACCACATGAAGAGTTGATCTAGTTAAAATGATTATAGAGCAAAGAAGGACTTGTTAGATACAGAGAAAGGAAAACATTCATAACGTAGCCATGATCACCCTACATAAAAGCAAATTCATCAGCACGTTCTAAAGAGATCTTGACTCATTGTTATCTGCATCCTACAACAAATTTTAAAATTAATTCTTTGGAAATTTGATGCATAAGTTGAGTCTATCTTTCTCATATCCACTTCTTTCCACCTTCCTTCCAACTCCTTTTGGACTCATACAGCAATTGTATTGGCTTGACTGTGCTTTCACTGTGAACATTTTTTCCTCAGGACAGTCTGGACATCATGAAGCATTATTAAATTTTGATTTCTTGTTAGGATACATGTATTACTTAATTTGAGTTTCACACTTTGATATAATAACTTGACTTCTATTACTTTTCTGTGAAGTAATTGTGAGTACATTGAAGTGAATTGTAAGTTTATTTGCAAGCTTGACATTTTTTGTGATTGATTTTCTATGATAAATTTGATAGGGGAAAGCTAACTTTAATGACTGGCATTCTATTCAATGGAAAAGGATAGGCTTTTTAGACTTTGCTATTTCTCAAGAAAATGGTTTTTATTATGTAAAGAGAGACACATTATGCTCACACATACATTCAAAGGTATTAAATTAGAAGAAACTTCTCAGCAATGGGCTGTCATGGACCACCTCCAAAGCAGACCGAGTAGATATGCGCTTAGCAACCTTTCTCTGTTATTCGACACTTCAGATCTCTGAGATGATACATAGTGTAGACTATATTCGTTTTTAGGCAATTAGAAAGGTTGTACATTGCCAAAAATTTATAATATTTGTCATTTGATTTTAAGTGTGAAAGATGAGGCCAGCTGGGGAAGTTTTCCTTCATCTTTGCTGTAGGATAGACCTATAAATCAAAATGAGAACAAGTTACTGATTGAGTATATTGTTAGAGTTCCTCTCTCCTTGTTTCTTACATGTTCAATCAGAGAAACACATTCAGAAATGTACTGCTTTCATCAAAGTTACAGGTATTCATTTTTCCAGGCCAGGAGACTCTCAAGCAGTTAGTCTTTTGGTAAGTATGATCAAGACTCATCTGCATTTGATCTAACAGGTAATAGATTGCAGAGGAACTATGCACTTTCAGAAGCAGAGAAGAAATAGAAAATTTCTATTTGACTCTGTGGCAATGGAAGAGCCAGTGTCAGTTTTTCACTCAGGAGGCAATTACACGTCTTTCATGTTTCACAGAAGCTGAAATGCACCACTATTCTTTTATACATTTTAAATAAATCCATTTTCTATGAAGTTTATGTATGGTAATCTCACATGTGATGAGGACCAGGTGGTGATTCAATAAGCAAAGCCAAGGGATGACTGTGATAGAAGGAGCTGAACTCTTTCACTCTGTCCAGAAAAGGTGTCTTCTAAGTCCCTAAGACTAACGGTTGTGTTTCATTCTTATTCCCCAGGGTGCTTGGTGACAAGAAGCATCTTTGAGAGGGTTGGAGCTGCCAGCTACTTCTTAGAGCAGCATTTCTCAACTATTCCAATGTTGTGAGCCTTTAATACAGTTCCTCATGCTGTGGTAAACCCCCAACCATAAAATTGTTTTTGTTGCTACTTCATAACTATAATTTGCTACTGTAATTAATCATAATGGAAACCTCTGATATGCAGGATCTGATAGTCAACTCCTGTGAAAGAGTCATTTGAGCCTCAAAGAAGTCCTGACCCACAGGCTGAGAACCACTGTCTCACAAGAAGATTGTTCATAAGATCAGATTTCTATGTTTCACTCTGAAAAAATGAGGGATTTCAGAATCTTTTTTTTTTTTTTTTAATTTTCAGAACTCATCTGTTTTATGAACCAGAATATCTAATGAGAAATTTCATACCTTGGTGAGTATCCATTTAAGGTCTTCCAGGATTTCTCTGTTGTTCGTTTCAATCTCATTGGCTTTTGAAAGGATAGTTTCAGGAACCCCTTCCATGGCACTCAGTTCAATCACCAAATGATATAGAGGGCTGATCCAGGCACCCACAAAATTGATCATAATTTTCAAATATCTTTTGGTCTGAGCAAACACAATAGAACCATTGCATTAAAAATTTCTGTAAGGCAGGTTATTGCATGTAACGTTCAAGTGAAGAAGCTGAACTATGTATGCACCAAAAAATCCTATTCGTTGCCTCTGATACTTTGTGAAAAACCCATGCAGGAAACTCACTTTCAGATTTGTGATTTCTTCTCTCGTATTTGGAGGGCTGGTGATATTAGAATGGCAGTAAGCTCTGGCTGAGAAAACAACCTGATCCCTTCTATGCAGACGGTCCTCCTTCAAACAAACACAAAAATTTAGTTAGACTTCAGAAATTGTTTAACTGACTACATGACCAGAATATTTTTTCCATTTTCTTGAAGGTAGGTATTTTTAATTGTTATTTCTTTTTTTATTTTTTAATGTTAGTAACAGTTTATTAACTTTGTATCCTAGCTGTTGCCTGCTCCCTCATTCTTTCCCAATCCCACCCTCCCTCTCTCATCTCCTCCCCGCCACTTTCCAAGTCCACAGATAGGGGGAAGACCTCCTCCCCTTCCATCTGACCCTAGCTTATCACATTTCTTCAGGACTGGCTGCAATGTCTTACTCTGTGGCTAGCAAGGCTGCTCCTCTCTTGGGGGGGGGGGGTCAAAGAATGTAGGTGCTTTTAAAATTATTGTTATTTACAATTTATTTATTTTGTATCCCAGTTGTAGCCCCTTCCCTCATCTCCTATTGATCTAACCCTCCCTCCCACTTTTTCCCCTATCCCTCTCGCCTAGTCCACTTATAGGGGATATTCCCCTCCCCTACTGTCTGACCCTAGCCTATCAAGTTCTCTAAAGACTGCCTGGATCTCCTTCCTCTGTGGGCTGTCTTGGTAGCCCCGCCAGGGAGAAGTGATAAAGGAACAGTCAATGGAGTTCATGTCAGAAACCTTTCCCCTTACTAGACAACCCACATGGAGACTGAGCTGTCTATGGGCTACATCTGGGCAGAGGTCTATGTCCTCTCTATGCCTGGTCTTTGGTTGATATATCAGTCTATTTGGTCCCCCCGAGACCAACTTCTTTGGCTTTGTTGGTCTATTTGTGAGGCTCTTGTCCCCTCCGGATCCTTCTTTTTCCCCCTCTTTCCATAAGACTCCCCACACTCTGTCCAATGTTTGGCTATAAGTCTCTGTATCTTCACCATCACCTGAAGGGTGGAGATTTTAGAGGAGCTCTGTGGTAGGCTATCTAAATTATAACAATAAGTACTTCATAAAAGCTGATATTAAGAAGTTAAGAAAGTGCCCATCACCTCATTCTGTGTCTCATGTACCTGCAATTTAATTTGATTTTTCACTCACTTTTGAACTCCTACCCCTCTTATTCTGCTGTCTTTTCACTTTTCCTAAAAGTTACTTTTTGGAAGGCAACACTGAAAGGAGTAAATTTTTCAAGAACTTAATGTTTTCATTATCATCTTTCTCTGGTATTTCACACAAAGCCAAAGAACATATTTATCATTTTTGTTTATTTTCTGTAAATAAATTCTGACATTTATTACCAAAATATAAAAATTAAATGTTTATTAATTTAACACTGCTTATAGATAGCTTTGTAAGACAATGGTATAATAGTTTTAGAAATTTTTTTGCATTGTGACATTATTCATGAAAAAATAGACTGATTTTAGTAAACTCTAGACAACTGAACTATAAAACGTTATTAAGTTTATGTATTGTATTAGTCATTGTATGATTAATGAAATCTTAAATTTGCCTAAATATATAGTCTAAAATATATTAATTATTTCTAATAATCAACCAATTTTGGAAAGGTTAGTAGATTACTATGAAGGGTAGAAAGTTGAAAAAACTGTCCGTTAAGAAATGAAAATAAAAAACTGTATAATGCTTCCTCATCTAAGTTGCCATCACTGACACGAGGCTGCCTTTGGGAAACAGCTGGAAAGAAATGAGGTACTTACAATAGTAAAAAATTCACTGGAAGAGAATTCGTTGTGGAACTGAGTCATGTAAAGGGAAAAAAATAACATTGTCAATAAAAAAAAAAAAAAACATGTAGATGTGTTTATTGCAATTAAGACATATTCTCCTGATATCCATCATATTGAATGTTTGCCTATTTTCTTTTCCTTTGTATATTCTGACCTTGAGAAATGATGTGTAATCAGCAAGAAAGGAACAGATATTGGACAAACTCTAGCACTGAAAAATATTTAAGCTACACTTCCCAGCATCCAGGGACTTAGTGAAGGTTTAGATTTCTTCTCTACTGTTTCTTTCTTCTCTCCTTTCTCACTCTCTCTCTCTCTCTCTTTCTCTCTCTCTCTCTCTCTCTCTCTCTCTGTGTGTGTGTGTGTGTGTGTGTGTGTGTGTCTATTCACATGATTTGGTTTACCTGTATTCCAAATCTATAGCTCACTACATCACTGTAATACACATCTTCTACAGTGTATATCTGCAATTTACTAGTTGAACATAGCCAATGGATACTTATGACCCTAAATGCAACCATGGGAAATGAGAGTTCTTCTCCTGGGCAAATTTCAGAGGATTTTACTTTTTCTTTTTTTAAGAAAAAATAGAAAAATCATTAGTTTTTCTGAAATTTCAAGAAACTGTCCAATTGACCTTGTCTATGATTTAGTACATTGCGTATCCTTTAACTAGTAAGGTATATTTTCTGATATTTGAATCATGGTGCTTAAGGTCTCAGGATCTAGAGCAATTCAAACATTAGCATGAATGTTGAGGTACTTACAAATTCTTCATGTAATTGAAGAACAAGACTATAGATGGTTTTAGCTCGATTCATGGCACCGTTAAATGTTTCTACAAGGGGATTCCAACAGCCTCCCTCTTCAATATGACATGCAGGAATTGATTCAGCTTTCTCCCACAGCAGTAGGTTTGACATCAGCAGCAGCAAAAGTGTCCTGGCTATATAGAAACAGGAGCCACTTAGGGATGATGCATCAATCTGAGGTTTTCAAGGCTCAATTGATTCAGTAAAGTTTTATCTGGCCAAAGTTTGTTTTGCTGCATGACTTGGTATTGAATATCTGGCATGGCAGAAAAAATTACTCAGAGTACTTTGGTAAGCAATTGTATGTTTGTGTATAATTTAAGGACTGTTTAGTATCTTTAGAGATTGATCTCATTTACTAGTAATCAAACTCTTGAAAAATTTGTAATTTTTAACCTTTGTTTCTTAAATCAGCATTCTGAACACTGACTGGACAAAGATAGCGCAGTTTATCTATTTGCTTCCTCAACACAGTTTGATAATAAGCACAAGATGATAACAGAGTATAAAGAGAGTGGTGTCTTAACATATGTCAGTTTGGAATTGCTAACATGACAAAGCTCCAACGAGTACTATTTCATCAAAAAAAATTCAGATTATTTTCTTTAAAGTTTTTCTTCATTATAATTCTGTAAGCAGATTAGGTAATCGCCATCATAATCTGAAAATATTCATGAAGATGAAGAAGAAAGCTTACGTGATCCAATAATTTCCCCAATGGCTTAATATTGGCTGATGTAGACATGAGAACACCAAACATCAGTACTTTGTCCTTCCCTGGTCATAGAGAGACCATTACACATCTTTCTGGCAGAGAACAAAGTCACCGTTCTGATGCTCAGTTTTGTCAAAGGTCATTGCCATTACTTGGCAAGAATAAATTTGTCACTATGATATTATAGCAGAAGCTTAGAATCCCAATTTGATCTATTTATTCTCTTTAAAACATTCACTTTTAAAAGTTTTGACAATGATCAGGGTTAGCTGCAACTTCAAATTGTGACTTATTTAGCACCACAACAGAAGTACATGTAAGGCTGAGGGAACATCTTCGAGTAAGGGGAAAAATGAATATAAGCAACAGAGGTCCAGAATGTTTATTTGATAATTCAATACAAGTAGCCAGGTCAAAAATCATAGACATATGTGCAACACCAAAATGATTAAACAGGTTGTATATATGTTTATATTTATCTATAAATATAACAGTAATAATTAAAGAAAATGCTCCTACTCTTGAGCAAGACCATTGGAAAGGGTTTTTGAAAAGTTGGATGAGTGATATAATACTCATGAATGAAATTCTCAAATAATATAAAAACATAAAAAGATCTTCTTATATAATTTCAAAAATAATTTTGTTTTTTCTTTTTTTTCTAGCAAATATCTCCTATATAATATTGTGCTTTGTCAGCATCCCCTTGTTCTTTTTTGTGTGATGTTCTTTGATTTGTGCTAAACTGGAAAACAATAAAAGACACAATCTGCCACCTTTTTATAGTTCAGTTTTCAGAACTTAAAGATTCTTCAGATCTATTACAATAAGGACACTCGTATACAATATTAACAACCAAAATTATGCTTCTTCTGGCTTGAGGTAAGATGAGTTGGACCCACTGATTTTATGTACTCAGTAATTTCCAGTTTCTAAAAATCAAAAACATTGTTCTTTTGAGCTTCATTATTTGTTCTGGAAGGTATGCTGTGCATTTGGAGATGTTTAATGATTCCCATAATCTCTACTTATTGGATATCAGTAACATTTTCCTTCTCCTTCTCCCACTTCAGTAGACTCAGACTATCTTTGAACATTGCAACATTGTGAAACTAGTAATCTGTCTCTTGTGCTCTTGTATGGTTGCTTTGAAAAAAATAATTTTAAAAGATATTAGAAAGTCTATGCTAAGTTCTTCTTCTGGTGAACTATGAGCTATCTCTCCAAGCCAGATTGCACATCAAAGATTCCTAAGAAACAATTCCATTAAAAACAAATGAACAAATAAACAAACAAATAAACAACAACAACAACAAAAAACAAAATTTAGAGAACCACTGAACTGAATACTTTTACTCAGAGAGGCATAGGGGAGAATTTACTTACAGAAGTGAAGTTGACTCAATGGCAGCTCCATCACTAAGGAGTTCCCAAGATAAGTACTGACTCTGGAGAGCTGCTTCACTGGAGTCATGCTTTCAGTTAGTTTCCTCCTCCTTATATTCTTGCAGATAGCCCCAAGGGCATTCACAGCCATGTAACAGCAAGAAGTCACATGCAGAATTCCTCCTTCGTGAGCCAACTCTGTCTATCTTCAAGGAATGTTAACAGTTTTATTTTATTTGCAAATACTTATTTGTGTCTGGATTAATTCTTTCTGCTTGTTACTACATGCTGACTATTCTCCAAATTATTTTTTGATATCTCTGAAGCCATCTCAGATGCCTGATGACAGACGGTCATGTTAGACCAAGAGAGAATTGTTGTTCATAATTATTTCCCTTCCTTAGAATCTTACATTCTTTCTATCATCTCTTTCATGATGTTCGTGTACAGAGAGGGATTCTTTATTCAATATTTGACCACCATGCCACAGCATTAGTAAATTAACCATAGTGTTATCATGATTCTCTGTCTGTAGTCACTCACTACTGTGAAGAGCGATTTCCCATACACTTAGCTGACAGTTATAATAATCTATATGCTTAACTTTGATATTTAGAAGTCAATTTGAAAGACATAAGGTATATGTAACAGAAAAACTCCTTTAACTCCTCTCTAGATCCTATGGCCTCTCAAGTAAATGGCTGTTCATTGGCTAAAATATCAACTATGGATTCTTTTCTTGGAATTGGTCTTAATTATATTAGAAGTTTCTTTTCCACCAGAAACATGTGTGACACTATTGACTTAATGAGTATAGTTTTATGTGTTTACTGCATTAGTACTAGTTCCATGGTACAACTGGTGACAATACTCCAAAAGTCAACTCCATAGTGGCTTCCAGACTCTGACAGCCAGGCAACATAGGGGGATCTCCCACATCAATGCCAACCATATTTTCTCATATTGTTGAAAGAGAGTACATGCTTCTTAAAGAATTTAGATCAACCAGGTAGTTCCAGTGTGCATTAAAAATGAGTTTCAACTGCAAGAATGGTGTGAGGGGCTTCATAAACCTGACTGACTGTCCAATATCTCTTGGGAAGCTAACACTGATGTCAGGGATTTAATTTAGTAAAGATATGGTTCTCAGGAATCCTTTTCAATTCATTCAAGTACATTCCCACAGATTCCCTAACAGCTGTCTTTTGTATCCTTCCAAATGCCCCAACAGATATAAAAGATGTGTAGAGGTTGGATTTTGTAATGGAAGTTTTATAGAGACCACCATTTTCATAGACTAATATTGCCTGCTTCAGGAAACCATACTTTAACTTCTTTTTTTTTTCCTTTCTATTTTTTTAAATTAAATTTTTACTTTTATATTAATATTAATTACAGTTTATTCACTTTGTATCCCAGCTGTCACCCCATCCCTCATCCTATCCCAATCCCACCCTCGCTCCCTCATTTCCTCTTATGCCCCTCTCCAAGTCCACAGATAGGGGAGGTCCTCCTCCCCTTCCAGCTGACCCTAGCTTATCAGGTCTCATCGCTACTGGCTATACTGTCCTCCTCTGTGGCCTGGCAAGGATGCTCTCCCATCAGGGAGAGGAGGTCAAAGAGCCAGCCACTGAGTTCATGTCAGTGACAGTCACTGTTCCTCTTACTAGGGAAGTACCTACCTGGATATTAATCACGCTTTTTTTATTCTTTTTTAAAATTTATTTATTTTATTTTATTAATTATATTTTATTCACTTTGTATCCCCCCATAAGCCCCTCCCTCCTCCCCTCCCGGTCCCACTCTCCGTCCCCCTTCTTCACACATGCCCCTCCCCAAGTCCACTGATAGGGAAGGTCCTCCTATCCTTCCTTCTGATCTTAGTCTATCAGGTCACATCAGGAGTGGCTGCATTGTGATCTTCTGAGGCCTGGTAAGGCTGCTCCCCCCCTCAGGGGGAGTTTAATCACATTTTTTAACATTGGTGTTAGACATCATGGCCAACCTCAAGCATATTTCAGCCATTTCTTCCAAAGCACAAAGTTGTGTGTGTTATCATGAATGGCATCATTACATCATTACTTCTTTTCCTATAATCTATGTTATAAGCTTATAATCTAATAACAGCACTATGAAGTGTTTAGATTGCTGTACCTGGGACTCTGTCATGTGATCAGAAAGAGTTGGCATATGGCTAAGGGGTCAAGAAGGAGCAGAGCACACTCAGGACTGCCAAACGTAATGCCCTTCCAGATATGTTCCATATGGTTGTTCCATATGATGTTCCACTAATCAACAGTCTTTTGCTCGGTCCCTTCCTCTGAAGTTGTTTATCTGTCAACAGTATTTTAGGAAAGAACCCAGGTCTGGGTGAGTAATCTTTTCCACACAGACCCCTCTTACTTCAGCCACACAAGTTTATCATAAATTTCATAGCCTCAAGCAGCACATTCCGAACCTGATGTGCAGCTTGGGTCCCTGCTGCACATTCACCTCCAGCATTCCTATCTACAAAAGGAGACACAGAGAGAATGTTTTTTTTTTTCATTTCCACTACATTCTACAGATGAAAGAAACACATAAGAAGCAGTAGAAAGAAAAGAGAAAGTGTAGGAACTGAACTTCTCTCCATTTAATAATCTGTGAGTTGAACCACAGAGGATAATATTAATGTGTTAAAGAATTAACAATTGAGAGGAAACTGAAAGTCTTCCTACAAAGAAGACTTATTAGACTCAGGGTAAAGAACATATCAAATATGTCAGAGAAGATGTTGAAGAGTTGCAACTTTAGAGAAGCACATTTGAAGGTGACTACTGAAGAGATACAATAATATATCATGTTTGAAACACAGCATGTTCTATTAAAAATAGCCTAATAAGTAACTTAAAGTGATGTTGCTTGGTGATTATTTTATTTTATTGTGAAAATTGGCTTATGAAAATGGCTTTGTTAAGGTATTTCTAAGTAAGTATTCTAATTAATATAGCTACATTTTATTCCAAATGTTTATTTAATGTGCTTGAATGTTTTATATAGTATATACTTTCCTCCTTGCTATGATTAAAATACCTGAGAAAAGGAGCATAATAACAAATACAGTTGTTTTTTGTTTGTTTGTTTGTTTTTTGGTTTATAGTTTGACAATACATTATGAGGCAGATAGCTCACCAAAACTGCAATCAAGAAGAAAAGAAAAATGAATGTTCATCTCTTTCTAGATAACTTTATTGAAATGATAATTTCTCTTGTGTAACCAATTAGGGGCTCATCCTGAGGGAAGTCTGATTTCTATCTCACAGAAATCATTTATTCCTCATTGCTCTTTACCTAACATTGGGGCCTCGTTAAATTTCTCTCAATCACTGATCTTTCAGCTATTGTTGTCATTATTTGGGTCTTGTTTAGAGTACCATAATGTTGAGATTTCATGCTTGGAAAGATTCAATCTCTGCAGACAACATCTTTGTCCTCTAGCTCTTACAATCATTCTACCCTTCTGAATTTTTCTCCTGAGTCTTGAATGCGAGGATATATTGCAGGTATATTAGGTCAGATGGACAACTTATAGTCAATTGTTCTCTGCCATTTGACCTGCTGTGGCTTTCTGTAATGCTCTCTTTGCAAGAAAAAGAAGCTTGTTTGATGAGGGCTGAGAGCTACTACTCAAAATCTGTTAGAAATTACTTTGGTTAGCTTGGCATGAAGATATACACCCTTAATCTCAGCACTCAAGAATCAGAGGCAAGGGGGATCTCCGTGAGTTCAAAAATACACTAGTCTAAAGACTGAGTCCCAAGACAAACAGGGCTATACAGAGAAGCTCTGTCTTGAAAACACCCAACAAAACCAAAAAGCACCACTACCACCACCACCACCATATTGTGTGTGTGTCTGTCTGTTTCTGTGAGTATAATTTTAGGTGAACATAAACCAATATAACTCTCTATGGCTTTTAGAAACATCCTTAGTGCATTATTGTAGCTAGCACCCCTCCATCACTGTTTCTCTGTAATTACACCCCCATTAGTTGAATTACTTACATATTTACCCACTTCGCGTGTCCTGCCATAATCTTCTCTAGAGTGCCTTCTCTCTCATCCTTTCTGTACCTTTTTGGCTTTCCTGGCTTATCAGTTTCTCTAAAATCTAAAGCCAGAGCTAGGGCCCGCAAATAAAAAAACAAAATGTGGCTTTAGTCTTTCTGAGTCTGGGTTACATCACTCATTAAATTTTTAAGTTCCATCCATTTACCTGAAATCTTCATGAATTTATTTTTCCATACAAATGAATAGTAAGTAATATACTATGTATATATACTACACTTTCATTATTCACACCTTGTAGTTTTTTTAGGAGGTGGATAAAAATATTTACATTTTTCCAGTTTGGGGCTAGTGACAAAGAACATGACTGAGGAGAATTTAACGAGTAAGATGTTGAATTTATTTTTTTTAAATTTTAGAATATAACAATTAGTTGCATATGTGTGATCACCTTTTAGTTTTTTGAGAATTCCCCATACTGACTTCCCAATATATATTCACCAAAAGTTGGCACACTCAATTTTATGAATAATATAGTACTAGAATAAAAGACAGATGTTGACTCCAACCGTCTCATAGGAGATGATTTCATCAACTCATCTCCTTTAATAGATAATACATGAAGAAAAAATAGAAAAAATATCATAATTGACAGGCATTATTTATGGAATACACCTCAGAGTTATCTTCAGAATATGCTACCCAAACACCATACAATATACATTTATTCTCCAACCCATGGCAGTGTCTCTAAATACACCACATTATGAAATATAAAACAAAATTTAGCATGATCAGAAAAAAAAAACTGTGATAATCAAATGTATTTTTTTCTGACTACAATGAGGTTAAGGTTAAAATCAACAGAAACTGTCTAGTAAGGAAAAAAATCTTATGTAACATTATTGAGTGGCTCAAAGAAAAAAATTAGAAAATTCTGGATTTAAATAAATTTGACAACATAAAAATTTCTCGAACTGGTAAAAATCAAGCAATCAAACAACCATAAAGTTCCAAAATATACAGCTTTATGTGCCTAACGTAAAAATTTTCTCAAGAAAAATTTAATGTCTTAATAGCCCAACTCAAGAATTTGGAAAAAAAATTCCCAATCAAGTAGATGTCAAGAAATAATAAGTCAGAGCAGATATTAATGAAGTAAAATCAAAGGAAACCAATACAAAAGTAAACAGAGTAAACCTTTGAATAAAGGTGCTACAGACCTTTAACAAGAAGAAAGCAAGATAACACAAATTAACAATATAAAAGACCATCAAGGAAGCATTACAGCAGACACTAAGGAAATTCAGAAATATTTTAAAAGAATACTATGAAGATCCATACTTCATGAAGTTAGAAAACCTCAAAGAAATTGATGCATTTTTTTAGAATCACCAAAATCACTAATGTTAAACCAAGATCAACAACTTCAACTGACTCCTAACAAGGAGATAGAAAGACTTACAAAATTTTCTGACAAAAAGGGGCGTACATCCAGATGAATTCAGAACAGAATTCTATCAGAGTTTCAAAAAAAATGCCTAGAGCCAATATTTAAGTTAAAAAATAAATTAAAAAGGGCAAAAATAATAAAAAGAAACAGAAGGAAGAGACAGGCATTTATCAAAAAAAAATTATCTAACCTAATCAAGCTGACCTTCACCCAGAAGTGCAAGATTTGTTCTGTATATATGTCAATAAAGTTAAAAAAAAAAAACATAATTTGGCTTGAACATAAAAATCACATGATCATACAAATAAATGTAGAAAGAACCCTTGACAATAGTGTTTTATCAAAGAAAAGTAGTTTCTTTATTACATATGAAAGCACTCAATAAAATTTTTCAAAGTTAAAAATGAAAGCATTTTGAGTTTTCATATAAATGTAATGTTTTCCTCTTCCATCATTTCTAAGTTTTTTTATAATTTATTCATTATGTATCCTGATTGTTGCCCTCTACTTCAACTCCTCCCAGACCCAGCCTTCCTCCTTCCTCTTCCACCCTTTCCTCTTCCTCTAATCCACTGAAAAGGGGAGTTCTTCTCCTCTGATACCTGCCATAGCTTATCAAGTCTCATCAGGACTGCCTGCATCCTCTTCCTCTGAGGCCTGGTAAGGCCACCTGTCCCAGGCAAATGGTCAAAGAGCAAGCAATGTAGTTCATGACAGAGGCAACCCCTTGATCCCCTTAGGAACCACATGGAGACTGAGCTGCCAATAGGTTACATATTAGCAGTGAGTCTAGATCCCCTTCCTGCATGGTACTTGGTTGGTGCATCAGTCTCTGCAGGACAACCTGGGGTCAAATTATTTAGTTTTTTGTTCTCCTTGTGGGACTTCTGTCCCCTCCATGTCCTTCTATCCCCACTGTCTTCCATCAGATTCCCTCTGCTCTTCCCAAAGTTTGTCTGTGAGTCTCAGCATCTGCATTCCTACTGGGGGAAGAGCCTCCAACTCATTGGCACAGGAGACAATTTCCTGAACAGAACACCAACAGAACAGGCTCTAAGATCAAACAGTTAAGAAATGGGACCTCATGAAACTGAAAAGCTTTGGTAAAGTAAAGAATATTGTCAACAGAACAAAACAGCATACAGGCTGGGAAAGGATCTTCACCAACAGAGGGCTAATATCCAGAATATATAAAGAACTCAAGAAATTAGACACCAACAAACCAAATAATCCAATAAAAAATGGGATACAGAGATAAACAGAGAATTCTCAATAGAGGAAAATCAAAATAACTCTGAGATTCCATCTTACGCCAATTAGAATGGCTAAGATAAAAAACTCAAGTGACAACACATGCTGGAGAGGATGTGGAGAAAGGGGAACCTTCCTCCATTGCTGGTGGGAATGTAAACTTGTATAACCACTTTGGAAATAAAGCCAGTGCTTCCTCAAAAAATTGGGAGTAGTGCTACATCAAGATCCAGATACATCATTCCTGAGCATACAAGGACATTTGCTCAACCATGTTCATAGCAGCTTTATTTGTAATAGCCAGAATCTGGAAATAACCCAGATGTTCCTCAGCGGAGGAATGGATCCAGAAATTGTGACACATTTACACAATAGGATACTACTGAGAATACTACTCAGCTGTTAAAAACAAGGAAATCATGCAATTTGCCGGGAAATGGTGGGAATTAGAAAAGATCATCCTGAGTGAAGTATCCCTGAAACAGAAAGACACACATGGTACATACTCACTTATAAGTAGATATTAGCCATATAATATAAAATAGCCATACTAAAATCTATCAATCTAAAGAAGGTAAATACTAAGGAAGACACCAGGGAGGATATTTAAATTTCATTCAGAATAACTAACAGAATAGACACCAGAAGTGTTGGAAGAGAGGAAACAAGATGGAAGCCTACTATAAAGGATCCTCTGAAATAAATGAAATATTTTATCTTGAAAAACAAGGGGATTTGTACTGGCTGTGTACCTCAGCAATTCACCACAATATTCCCCTAAATATGTGCGAAAATACTTTCATTCTACCCACAAATGACAATTCTAACATGTATTCGCAATTAAGATCTAAACATGACCATATCTACATTCATCTAATATTTACCAAAACACATGTGAGAGAAGACAACATCCTCAACATCTATGGGAAAGGTAAAAAGAGCAACAACAGCATCAATTTAGTGAACGGTAAGCACACAGAGTGCAATAAATAAATCAGCTATATATTTGACAGAGGAACTCTATTCATTATATATAAAGAACTCAAAAAAACATACTCAAATGAAAAATAACTTATTTGAAAATGAACTGTGGATCTGAAAAAAAAAGAACTCTCGATATAATAAAGTTTAAAACATAAGAAATACCTCAAAAAGAGTTCAACATCCATGTAATTAGGAAAATTCAGTTAAATCTGCTTTGAAATATTATCTTACTCTTGTCAGCATGGCTTGGATCAAGAAAACAACAGAATGTTGCTAAGGATGTGGGGAAAGGAGAACCTCAATCAATCTTTCTAGGATTGAAAACAGGTGCAGCCACTCTGGAATCTGTGTGCATAAACATTTTTTAATCGAAGATCAAAGATTAATAAAAGTAACAGAGTAAACTCTGGGTCATACAAGCTGTAAAATCTCACTCTGAGTGAAAGATGAAATCTAATGGAAAAAGGGAAAATGTCCATGCCATTTAAGCTGGCATTGAAGACAAAAACATGGGAGACAAGAAATCACATGGCAAGCAATAAGGCTTTGAAAACAGAATAAGGAAGCCCCAAATACTGAACTTCTACTAGTGGTCATACTTTGATATTAATAACTTCATCTACAACTTAAAGTGATTTTTACTCAGTTATTTTTATTTTTACTGTTGTGAACAAATACTTGAGAAAGGAAATGTAAGGGGTTGCATTTTTATTGTCTCAAGGTTTGAAGGTACCATACATACTAATAGGGAAGGTGGGTGTAAGATTAACTCTTGACTGTGGCAATGAAAGTATAAGATGTCACAACTGAGTGGATTAGAGAGGAGACAGACAGACACAGAGAGACATAAAGAGACAAAAACAGAACCAGAGAGATGGAGACAGAGGGGATACACTTTAAGCCTCGGGACCTGTCCTGTAGAGGTACCCTTTGTCCAGCTCTTTCTGGTTTCCCAGTGACCCACTTCCTCCATTTAAACCCAATCATAAAGCTTCCACAGACGTCCAACACAGTTCTACCAGCTGAGATCCAAAGGGTTCCAACCCTGTGAAGATGTTCTTCATTCACACCAGAATTATGAGCGAGAAATATCTTATTCTGAAGAAAGTATTATTGCCAAAACATTGAATAGAGAAATGGGTGAATCAGTGGAAGGAAAAACAATGAAAATACAGAATAACTGGAAATTTCTCAGATACCTGTTTTTTTTAAATAATTTTAATATCAATTTCATATCTTACCATTGACAATCTTTGGAAAGTTACTGTTCCAAGAAAGATTTGCAATCTGTGTCATAGTGGATAGTTATAAGGAAAGCCTGTCATGGTTCTCCACCCAAAAGAGGTGATAAAATGACATTTTCCACCTATGTGTCTGTCATGTTTTAAATAAAATTACTGAAATTATTTAAATTAAAAAACTCCAATTATGTTTTATATATAATTGCAGAGTAGAAACTTGAATCTATGAACTCACCATACTCTTCTGTATATGAGACAGGCAGGGATTCGGGAGGCTGTGAATGATCTGGTATCAGTAAAAATTTTGACACTGATTTTGTACAGACAAACTTGATGTGTTGCTGGCATTTGGAAATTTAATTTACACATGAACGGCCTGGTTTCCCATGTCAAGATGGATACTGACTATGTGCCAAATAATGTGTAGGGCTTTGAAATTCAGTCGGATTATTGCCTCTGACATGAGTTGAGGAAAAAATATTGCCATCAAATTAATTATCTCTTGCTTTTATGTGATTTTCTAAGACATCAATGTAAATTTTTGAGGATCGACCTGAATGAAAGTAGAAAGTCATTTGCCTCATTTGCCAATCAAATACAGATTCTTCCTTTTTTAATTTAATTTGTTAATTACACTTGATTCACTTTGTATCCCCCCATAAGCCCCTCCCTTCTCCTCTCCCAGTCCCACCCTTCCTCCCCCTTCTTCACGCATGCCCCTCCCCAAGTTCACTGATAAGGGAGGTCCTCCTCTCCTTCCTTCTGATCTTATTCTATCAGATCACATCAGGAGTGGCTGCATTGTCCTCTTCTGTGGCCTGGTAAAGCTGCTCCCTCTCAGGGGGGGGGGTGATTAAAGAGCAGAACAATCAGATTATGTCAGAGGCAGTTCCTCTTCCCATTACTATATAACCCACTTGGACACTAAACTGCCATGGGCTACATCTGTTCAGGGGTTCTAGGTTATCTTCATGCCTGGTACCTGGTTGGAGTAAGAGTCTCTGGAAAGACCCCTGTGTTCAAATTTTCTGCTTCTGTTGCTGTCCTTGTGTGGTTCCTGTCCTCTCCAGCTCTTACTATTTCCCACTTCTTACATAAGATTCCATGCACTCTGCCCAACAGTTGGCCATAAGTCTCAGCGTCTGCTTTGATAGTCTGCAGGGTAGAGCCTTACAGAGGCCCTCTGTGGCAGGTTTCTAGGTTGTTTCCTGTTTTCTTCTTCTTCTGATGTCCATCCTCTTTGCCTTTTGGGATGGGGATTGAGCATTTTAGTCAGGGTCTTCTCTCTTAATTAGTTTCTTTAGATGTACAGATTTTAGTAGATTTATGATTCTTCCTTTTAAGAGGAGGTTAATGTTATTGATGTTTTTAGTATTAAATAAATAGAAGGTATTAACAATTGTCATATAACACATTGAAATATATAGAGCACTTTTTATGAAGACATGTACTCCTTAAGTGTACATTCAAAAATCATTAAAAATGGATTATTAAAATGCATGTCTGTCCCCCAGATTGTAGCAAATGTTATCATGAACATGCACACACCTCAGGAGTCTGAGATAAGTGTCAACCTTATATATGTCAACCTGCAGGCAGTAGGACAATATATAAAGAGCAAAAGAAACAAACAAACAAAAACCCTGATTCTTCCTCAGCTGACTGTAATAATGCAAGCTTTGACCAGACAAGGTGCTCTTCATTTATTCAATCCCAGGATGAACCTAGTGACAAAACTGATGCTCACATTATTACTATTTGTGTTTGATTGTCATTATTCATTATAAGCGATTGATTATACCTAAGATAATGTCAGTTGTGTAAATCCTCAGTCAGAATCATGAATTTCCATGTGCCTAAGCCTGGGTGCCTGAAATATCTCTCAGTCATCTAAAAACTAGAGGTAAGGATCAATTATATGATTTCTTAGATGAAATTGATTATAGAATATATATATATATATATATTTTTCTGACAAGTTTCATAAAAGACCAGAAAATTGCCATTTGTATTTTTTCAAGGCCAATGGATGAACTGGTACTTTCTTACTTAACATGAGAGGCCAGGGATAGTAGTAATAAAATAGTTGGAAAAAGTTCATGTTGCCAGGGGAATTACTGTTCCAATGGCTGTGAGGGATATCTATAGTGCTTAGTGGCCAAGCTTCAGATGAGACCTTTCTCACAAACTCTGTTCTCGGCAAGTAAAGTGTTTCAAAATTTATCATTCTCCACAGATGTCACGTCATTCAAGAAGGAAAAAAAAAAAAAAGTAGGCGGGTAAGAAGATGGCTCACCTTACTGAGTATCCTCATGATGAGGTCCTGGAACTCTTTTTCACCTCTGTTTCTTCAACTATTGATAGAATAGTATCAGGGGCTCCTGGGGAAGGACTGATTTCCATCAGTAAGTGGTGCAGAGGGTTGTCCCAGGCACGTAATATGCTGAGTATCGTTTTCAAAAAGTATTCAAGCTATGCAACAGTAATTAAGCAATTATGTTGACATAAATGATATTGATTAGGATGTGTTACATTTATATTTTAATAAGAGAAGCATAGCTAAAATGTATATTTGTAATATTATGGAGATGTAAATATATTTTGTAAAATAAATGTTGAATTATAAATGTCAACAAATACACATTATTGTGAATAGTAACTACTTTTTAGTAATGAAACATCATGTTGTTCTTTGTCTTTTCTTCTGAAATTGTTCCATATGAACCCCATTTTATATCTTTCTTATATTATTTTGTTGTTTGTCCACCCAAAAACTAAAGCATTGTTGGGCTTCAGTAGATGCCCAGATGACTTGACTCAGAAAGGTGACTGTCACCAATGTGAGTGGCATGAACCAAATCATTTCAGTAAGATTCATCATAACAATCACACTTTTCTAAGTTATGCTTATCTAAGATGGATAGGTTTTAGGTGATGTGAAAACAGAGATTTAATAAAGAAAACATGCCATTCATGATTGTATTCCTCAGTCTGCTTCACTCTCTGTCCGTGGCTCTGGCAGAGCAGCCCAGCTGTCCAGCATGAGCTGATGAAGATCAATGGCACAGTGTTGCTTTCAATGCCAGCACCAGTGGGAATCTCAGTGGAGTCAGACCTCTCAGTATGTGTTTACTGCCAGTACTATACATGAAGCTCAGTTCTAATTTAAAATACTTGCTGTGTTGATATGTTTAAGCAACTCTGTAGTAATAAATATAAATTGTAGAATGGTATGAAACAAACATTGTGAAGAAAAACATATGAAGATATGAAGGAAAAGGGCACACCAAACAGTGATGGATTCTGGGAGCATTGTGGCATATCACTAATAGTGAGTGATTGAGTTGGAGGAAGCACAGACTCCCAATCTTACTGCGCATGCTGGAGGTTAAAATGCTTTATTAATCTTCTTAATCCTAACTTTACTTTTCCCACCTAATGTGATAATATTCCATTTTGTAGCAACACTGCAGTAAAGTCAATACAGTAGTTTATGAAGTGTCTACCAATGTTGAATGTCATAAAATTTCATTTCTTCCTCTACCTTAACTTCACATTATTACTTCCATATGATGTTCAAATAAAATTGTTTCAAGATAAGTTATGGCAAGAGATCAGACAGGAATAATTATAACAATTACAAGCTATAGTTGTCAAAATAAGTTGATCTTTCCATCACATTTGAGGGCATTCTTCCATTATGAAGAACATTATACAAACTTGTGTGATCCTCATGGTTTGGTTCTTTCAGTAAATCTATAGGAAATGACCAAGAAATCAGAGAAGAATAACATATAAATAAGATGCAAACTTGGCTCCAAAAGATTCTTGAGAATCAAGAGGAGTGGTTAGTAGCATCTATTGTTGCCAAAGAGGCATCATTAGTAATAGCTAAGAAATACAACTGTATATTCATTCTTATGCATATACACAATGTACATTTAAACATAGGTTCACAGTTCAGGACAGTTTCCTACAGAATTATTAAGAAAATCTGGTAAGTGGACATTGCTAAACTGGGGTTCTCTAAATGAACAATTTATAACTTAGTTACAAAATTACTTAAAATTTTATTTTCTTATAATTCATCAACTATATAACATGATTTTTTTTCCATTGCTCACTCAGTATCTTCTGACAGATGTGATCATAACATCTATAGAGTGCTCATTATGACCTACAGAATGGCTGATCCAGTGTCCTGCTTGAACACTTAAAGATAAATCCAAGGACTGGGACTCATTGAATTTTTTTTAGCTTCCTCTTTTTTTTCTGGGATGCCGAGTGAAAAAGTTTGGCAGTTTTTGAAAGTCTTGGCCATGAGCTCTTGCTATCCGAGTAATTGCAGGGTCTGTAAATGTTAAAATAGTAACTCAGTTAGTTGAAGTTCAGCAAATGAATTCACAATCAGAATATGAATGCATTTAATAAATGTATGATTTTAAAAGTGTTACCTTTTACATATACCTGAAATGACTATTTCACCTACTGTTTTTTCATTAGTTCTGAAATCTCTGTTTTTCTTTCATTTAAGAGCCTAGGCTCTGAGCCATTTCCTTTCTTACTGTTTCTGTGTTTCTTCTCAATATTTATGTTTTGACATGAAGTCCTCCATATAACAAAATAACAAACTAGTGACTATTTTAAAATTTACTCTACTCTGGGACTTCAGTTATAGCTCCAGCAAATATGTGTTTATACCTACTACTCTCCTCTTTCATTCACTCAAAACTGATGTTTCCTTTAACTAGGTAATATTAAATTAGACATTTCTTTCTATAAACACTGCATACATACAATTATACCTTTAAAAGTTAATAATAAATCCTGAATGGAATTGTGTGGACAAAAATCAGTTACCAATTTTGGCATTTTAAAAAATGACTAAATAATCCAAGAGGTGGTTGCTCACACCTTTAATCCTATCACTTGGGAGGCAGAGGCAGATGGATCTTTGAGTTTGAGGCCAGCCTGGTCTATAAAGTGAGTTCCAGGACAGCAAAGTCTACACAGAGAAACTCTGTTTGGAAAAAAAAAAACAAAAAATTAATTAAAAAAGTCTAAACAAGGAGTAGTTAAAATACAAATATATAGTTCAATATGCATGTATTAACCATATTTATGTATATAAACATTTACTTAAAATATTTAAAATATATGTTACTTTACATTAATAAATGTATAAGTATTTAACCATATTTAGTTAACTATAATATTTAAAATATTTGTTATGAAAAATATATCACATATATTGTGACAGTTTAATAGACTGCTCAGAAATATAGGCAGTTAAAGGCTAGAGTATGAAATTTCAGAAAAACATGTGAGTAAAAAGAAATCAAGAAATATATTTATTCCACATTTTGAGATATATTCTCTGGGTACCATTTGTTGGACTGAAGCCTAATATATTTTCTCATCTTATACACTGAGTGACTATGCACAGAAAACATACAACCATCAGGCAGACAGAAGCTACTCTATTTTCCTTTTGTTATTAATTTTCATGTACAACATAGTTTAATCGTATTTTTACTCTCTCCCAAATAGTTGTACATAACTCCCACTTTCATACCCACTCAACTTCATGTTCTCTTTCTGGTTTGCTTTGCCTTTCTCTCTTTGAAACCAAAACAAAACAAAACAAAAGTTGACATCAAGACAAACAAAAATAAGACAAAAATATAAAAAACAAAACAAATGAAACATAATTTCTCCTAGCACCTCAAAACCAGCAACATAGTGTCTGCTAGATTTGGGGTGCTGACTGCTGCTGGGTATGGAACCTGTCCTGCAGTGTGGTTGATATACTCATTTACATTCCATCAAAGAAAACACATTTTTTTTTTCTTTCCCAGCGGATATCAATTGTAAATAGCTTCTTCGATAGGAGTGGTACTCTGTGCCCTTCTCAAGGCTAAGATATCCATGTTGAAAAGAAAAAAGAGAGCCAACCCCTGACACTATTAACAATATTATGCTATGCTAGCAGGCAGGAGCCAGCAAAGCTGCCCTCTGAATGGCTCCACCTAGCAGCAGGTGCTGAGATTCACAGCCAAAGGAAGCATAGAGAGTCTTGTATAAAAGTGGGTAATGATAGAAGGACCTAGAAATGACAAGAGCTCCACAATACCAACAGAGCCAACTAATCAAGGCCCAGAGGGGCTAGTGGAAACTAAAGCACCAACCAAGGACCACACATTGAATGGGCCTAGTCCCCCTACACAGATGCAGCAGATGGACAACTCAGGTTTCATGTGGGTTCCCTAGTAAAGGGAGGGGTTGTCTTTGACATGAACTCAGGTACCTGCTTTTTGATCACTTCCCCATGGAGGGGCTGCCTCCCCAGGCCACAGGAAAGAAGAGGATTCAGTCCTGATGAGCTAGGGTAGGTTGGTGGGATAGGGGAGCTCCTGTTGTCCAAAGAACAGGAAAGGGGGAAGAGGGAGGGAGTGTAGCACAGAGAGGAGAGAAGAAAAGGGGCTACAATCAGGATGTGAACAAGGAAATAAACAAATAAATAAGTAAATGAATAAAGTTTTTAAAAGGAAAAAAGAAAGAACATGAGCCTGAGATGATGGATGACACCAGGAAACAGCTTCTTCTAGACACAATAAGGGAATACAAATATAAATGCACAGAAATTTTGCCTACTTCCAAACCAGTACTCCTGTTTCTTTTACAAGAAAGAAATCTTATACAAGATAACTAGCATCAGGAAGAGTCTGAAGAGCTAATCGATCCAACACTTGGCATGGTTTCAGTTTAAGTTAGATCTGGTCAATCCATGAAATGCAATGCACAAGGATGAAATTCTCAGCTAATGGATATCTACAGTGTACTCGATAAATATATCAAAGAATACTGGCTCCCTACAAGCACAATCAGGACCACAGAATATTTTCCCTTGGACAACTTTTAGAGCTTTATGTCATAGTATATTTGTATATTGTATAAAGTATATTATATTTATATTATACTTAATTTAAGCTTGTAGTAACATAAATTTAGAGAACACTGTGAGATGACTCAGCATTTATTACAAGTCAGAGGATTTTCCTGCACGGTTTTATTATTGTTCTAACATTCCTGGCTGATGTTTCTTTTCTTCTGGAGGTATACTATTAAAAATTTGACCCATGATGGTTTTTCATCTAGGTTAAAGTGTAGTACAACCCTTAGCTCCTGGCTTTATGTGTGAAAAAAAAATCTGGAAGTAAAAGAAACACAATTTTAAGGAACGTGTTTGATGAGAAGGCATCGGTGCTCTGAAACAGGAGGAAAGAAAAAAATTGTGAATAAAAGAAAAATAGCATACCTACTACAAACATAGAGGCACATTTTGGCATGCCCATTATAACACTGGAGACATCTCTTCCCCCCCCCTCCACCTTGATTTCCACTGTTCTTGATCACATACTATACAGTTATCAAGAAAATTCAGCCCTCCCCTTGTCCAGGCCTTATCTGTAGGTATGTACTAGGAATGTTTTAAAAAGCTTCCTAGAACTTATGAGTTTCAGAGAAGCTATGGCATTTTCTCCCATCTTGAATCTACTGCAGTTTAATTTTGTTCTGTTCTATTCACCCAGTTCATAGCTGTGCACTTCTCCATTAAATAACTAGTTTCTCAGTGAAGATGCCTCTTCCTGCTTCTCAGGGACTGATGTGTGCTTTCATAAATGAATGTGTATTACCTGAAAATTAGCTAATGGTGATTTCTGTTTAACCATAGTGCACTACCAGTAAAATCAGGACCATCCATTGTCGAAAGATACCAGGCTCCAGTAAACTATTTACCAGTAGCCTTTGAATTTCTGTAGCCAGCTTGCTGATGTTCTCAGACATTATAATGGCATCGTCAAAAAGGTGTATGAAGGATACCTCACCGGTGCCAAGTGCTCTGGCATCTATGAATGCAGAGGCCACATTCTCCCACAGGAGCAGGTTTGACACCAATAGCATCAAGATAGTCCCTGATTATCAAACTAAATTGATATACTATTATTATCAAACTATACTGATGAAAAAAAAAAACAACTTAAATTTCATGTGATTTTTGTTAAGTCCCATTTTTCCTGCATGTATTTATTTATTTATCACTTACTTATACAAAAACAGAAGCTCTATTGAGAACCATGTTTCTGAGATTATCAAGACTATTTTAAAAATACTACTATAAACTTGCTTAGTCTTGATTTGACAGCTTCCTGCTAAACTGCTGTATTAAAGAATAACTATATTACCCAGAATAAAGTAAATAACTATATTTACACACACACACACACACACACATATTTGGAAGAGTTGTTTTGGTAAAATTTTGGTTGGCTATCAAAAGTGACACTGAAGGTTTTAAATATTCAACCATTCTAAGTGAGAAATTTAGAATCATTTGCCACAGACACTTTAATGTTAGAAATTTATATTGATTTTCAGTGATCTGATTCTCCAAAACTTTGTCTCTAACTCAGCATGCAGTGTTTTCATTTTGACAAAGACAGCACACTTCAATCTGCTGTATCTTCACACCTGGTAAGAGTCACATCATGATTGCTTGTTGTGTAGTAATAAAAGCTATGACAATCCAGTAGTGAAACAATACTGAATGCTGCCATTACTAACTCACAAGAAAGCTATGGACTGCTCTTTTACTAGAGCCTCAGACTGAGTTCTCTATGTAATATTTCTTTGTAATTTAATAAAAAATGTCTTAAAATTTTACGTGATGAAAAAAGACTTAAATTTTATGTGATTTTTGTTAAGTCCTATTTCCCTCCATCTATCTATTTATCTATCTATCTATTTATTTATTTATTTATTTATTTATTTATTTATTTATTTATTTATTTATTTAACACTTTGCACCCTGATCCACAAGCTCCTCTTCTCCCAGTCCCTCCTTCACACACACCTTTCTCCATTTCCCCATTTCCTTCTCTTCAGAGAAGGCAGAGGTCCACCATGGGTACCAGTCAGCCTTGGTATAGTAAGTTTATGCCAGACTAGGAACTTTCTCGTGAGGGAGCTCAGTGAGGGGAATGGGATCAAAAGGCAGGCATCAGAATCAGAGAGGACCCCTTCAATGGCTGGGAGATCCACATGAATACCAAGCTGCACAGCAGCTACATATGTGCATGGAGACTAGGATCAGTCCATGTATGCTCTTTGGTTGAAAGTTCACTCTCTATGAGCTCGCATTGGCCCAGGTTAGTTAACCTTTTAGGTTTTCTTGTGATGTCTTCTAGCATAACTCCTCTGAGGGGACTTTCCCAGAAGCTGATGGAGACAGATGCAGAGACCCACAGCCAAATCCTAAGTCTTATTAATAGACACTGGAAGGCAGAATGCCTGCAATATGCGCTCTTTACCCCACAGGAACATGCCTGATACACCTGGCTCTATCGAGTATATATGTAGCAGAGACCCTATCTATACTGCTGAGACTCATTTCTGCAAATGTTGTTGCTTCTAAATCACCAACTTTCCCTTTTAACCCCTGAGCTCAGAAGCCCTAGTAATCTTCATTTTATCTATATTGTTTGCTCTGTGAAAACAATCCTCTTTAGACTTTTGACAATGATCACTGTGGGATCCTCCATAATTTGCTGATTCAACAGTCAAACAAACAGATAGATTTCTAAGACATCAATAGTTGCACTCTCAACACAAAAGAAATGTGATATAGAAAACAAGTTTAAAATTACTTTTTATATTTCTTGACAGTACTGATAAATAATTTCTGGAAAAAAATTGAAATTGGGTGTGGTAATACACAACTTTAATCCCAGAATTTGGGAAAGCAGAGACAGGCAAATCACTGAGTTCAAGGCTGGCCTCATCTATAAATGATTCCAGGACTTCCAAGGCTATGCATAAAAACCTGGTCTTGAAAAAAATTAAAAAAACAAAATGAAACAAAAATGTGATTCTCAGTAATCTGAATTATATTCAAATTTATGATGCACAGAGCATGTTCATGATATACCAGGTCAATATTAAAGATTTTGCCTGAAGAACACAAATACTCACAAGTAAGAGGACCTAAACATTCTGTAGTATGCAATTTTGCTAAAAAGCTTCTTGGCTAAATAATTCACCTAGTATTAAATAACACATATTATAGACTTTCATTTCACATGAATATCTTGCTTTCTGACTTTACTGTGTGCAATATAAAAATAGTAGTTATCCATCTTTGTATGTATGAATGTATGTATAAGTGTGCTATCCAATTTTATCCAATGAAGAATTTCCATAATCTAACATGAAGTGAAGTAAATACTTTTGTTCTCTTTTTTTCTAAAATCCATTTATCTCGTGTTTTCCTGCCCATGTCATCTACAGAACTTTATCAGCAACTGTTAATAAATACAGCAGTGTTAGGCATATAACCCCCAAACCTCTGTTTGATCAGGAGTGTAAGACTCATGTCTGTTATCATTGTCTACCCTAGTCTCCAGCACCTAATGTCTTGAAGTTTGGTTCAAGTGGGCAAACACATGTTTAAGAAGCAAGAAACAAGAAAACATTTCCTCTTTCTTTCTGAGTTGTGACAATATGAAAACACTCACTCTTTTGTTCCTACTACATTACCATTTAAGAATCTCAGAAAATCATATAAGGGTCCCCATGTTGGTCAACCACTTTAAAGTGTATGCTACATCTCTGTGAAGATGCTTGAAAGACCGCAAAATTTCTCCTAAGCCTCGTTTTGTGTTACTTGAATAAATACAATGTCTGTTAATGCAAAAGGAACAATACAGGACTCTGACAAAAGGATTTCATCTAATAACCTCAGAGAATCCCCATGGTGTTCAGATTTAAGGCAACGGCATGACTGTGATGTTACTTACAGGCACAGGCTTGAGTCAATGACTTCTGCATCTCAGAAAAGCTCCACCACAGAATGTGGCCCACTGCTACCGTGGAGTCCTGTTCTCAGTTAACCTTCTAATTCCTATATACTCTAGCAAATTGCCCCCAAGGCCACTCACTGCTGTAACAGGAAAGAAATAAAAATTCAAAACCTGTTAGGTCTCATCAGGAGTGGCTGCATTGTCTTCTTCTGTGGCCTAGTAAGGCTGCTCCACCCCCACCCCCAGGGGGAGGTGATCAAAGAGCAGGCCAATCAGTTCATGCCAGAAGCAGTCCCTATTCCCATTACTATGGAACCCACTTGGACACTGAACTGCCATGGGCTACATCTGTGCAGGGGTTCTAGGTTATCTCCATGCATGGTGCTTGGTTGGAGAATGAGTCTCAAGAAAGATCCCTGTGTTCAAATTTTTTGGTTCTGTTGCTCTCCTTGTGGACCTCCTGTCCTCTCCAGATCTTACTATTTCCCACTTCTTTCATAAGATTCCCTGCATCCTGCTCAAAGTTTGGCCCTAAATCTCAACATCTCCTTTGACTCCTGATGAGACCTAACAGACTAGGATCAGAAGGATGAATAAGAAACCCTCCCCTACCAGTGGACTTGGGAAGGGGCATGACTGGAGAAGGGTGAGGAAGGGAGGGATTGGAAGGGGAGAAGGGAGGGAACTAGAGAGGGGATACAAAGTAAATAAAGTATAATTAAAAATAAAATTAAAAAATTTAAAAAAAATAAAAAAATTCAAAACCTAGATAAGGTTCTAATGACCTTATTGCTTCTGGAAATGTTAGCAGTTTCATCGGTATTGTCATAAAACTGCTGAATATATGTCTCTCTACTTTTTGCATGGTATAGCTAGTGTCCAAGTCATTTTAGAGCTCCCTAAAGCCAAGATAGTATATGATCACTGATGAACATACTAAGCCAGATATAGAATTTTGTACTCTATCACATCCTCCCCTTGCTCATGCTCTTGCATCCTTTCAGTAGAGGCTTATAAACTTTGGGTCTTTTTGAGGGTATGATGTATGTATCCACTCAATATTGAGCCAATATGTCGAAGTATTAATCAGAATCTTGCAGCAGCTTAAATGGCCATTACTCCTGTAATGAGAATTGTTCTCTCACAACTGTTTTGTTGGACATGTGCTTGTTCCCGGTATCAACATATAAGGGGTCCTCTCATTGCTGTCAGTTCTTTTTATGCAGATCCTTTAGTGTCTTTGAAACTATGAAACAAGTAGCATGGAGGAAGATTCCACTTCAGTCCCAATCTGATTTTTCCTTCTCATGGAGAGAGACAATGAAATATATTTGCAACTGAGTCCACTCAATTCCTTCTGACATGTGTCCACCTGTCGTCTCAACAATCTGAATGGTGTAAGACGACTTCAAGAACTTGCTGTCTACTAAATCACAGTAAGGTAACGCATGCCAGGCATTAGTGTGCCATTTAATAAACTTAAAGCTCTCAGGAATGTTTTTCCCCATGTCTCTATATAATATCTTACTCATTTTTTTTAACAGCTGTCTTTAGATGTTCACCCATCTGTTTTTTCCTAGTGCATTGCTAAGTTATCAAGACCTGTAGATTTATCTTTACATAATAATTTGGAGATGGCAAGCACACTCTCCTTAAGCCTTGTTCTGCCTACTTCAAGGAAGTGTAGAATTGCCTCTGAATTTTTCATTGATGTGAATTCTAAACAAAATCCTTGTACATGTTCAATATATCATGAATGGGTCTCATTCTCATATTAATATCAGTCTTGCTAATGCTGTGACCCTTCAATAGAGTTTCTCATGTTGTGGTGATCCCAATCATATATTATTTTTATTTCTACTTCACAGCTATAATTTTGCTACTGTTATGAGTTGTCATATAAGTATCTCTGCTTTCCAATGGTCTAAAGTGACCTTTGTGAAAGGGTCATCTAATCCCCAAAGGGATTGAGAGCCACTTCTCTAAAGTAAAATGTCAGGTATGGTAGAATGGGTGTGGTACATACTTTTTAAAACATTTTTTCTTAAGCTTCTCTATTTGTTATTGCTGATGCTTTGCCATGTCTTCACAAACCTTGCTAGATGTAGGCCACACGTGCCACAGTCAGCTACTTCTGGCTTTTGATTAGCTCTGTGTAATGGAGATGTTTAACTGGGATGAATGTTTTCTGTAAGGGCCTGGAGCTGGGTGAGCAAATTCCTCCCCACAGATAAATTTCTGGGAAAACAAGTGATTGCCTAACATTTCTCATCCTCAGGCAAAAGTATCCAGAAAATTGTTCAGCAGATGCTCCACTGAACATCCACACACAGCATTCCCATGTTTAGTACAGAACTGTACACAATGTATCCTCTGAGGAGGGGATTACTGTCCACGCTTAAGATAAATTCAACCTTGTTCATTCTCATCTCTCTGTATTTATCCATCCAGGGTTGCCCATAGGCAAGAAGATTTTGGTTTTAGGGTGTAGTTATAATTTAGGCTTATTTAGGACATTTTATTTGTTTCCCAAATGTATCCCTTTAAAATTATCAGCATATACTAAAATGATAATAATTGGTTGTATTTTTAACATTTTGTTAACCTTTCATCTTCCTCCCTATCCTGATCATCTTCTGCTTCTTTACTAGTCTCCCCTTTCTACTTAAAATATTAGTTATTTGATTATGTATAACATGTTTTGATTATATCATTTACCTCCTCAACTCTTCTGTGTTTTACCCTCCATCCTACCTATGGAACTTTGCCACCATTTTATTCTTTTGTAGCTGTTGTTAAACTTATCAAGCCAAATTTGTGCTGCCAAAATATTCTTGGATGTATGGATATTCACTGGAGCATGATCATTTTCACGAGGTCTAAGATTTTAGTGAAAACTGATTCAGTCTCTCAGTGACTGTATCTGTCTCAATCTGTCTCTGTATCTCCATCTATGTCTCCTCTCTCTCTCTGTAACTATCAGTGGTCAGATGTTCCTTTCAGAAGAGTGCAACTTCCTGGCAAAATACCCTTTCCATGTTAAGACTTTGTCTGGCTTTGGGCTAATTAATACAAGTCTTATTCATATTGTCACAAGTGCTATGAGTTTATTTGGACAGTTGGGTTTTTTGTTTGTTTTTGTAGTGAAAACCCTTTCATCATAGATAGTCCTGTCCTGTGGCCCTTACATTTTCCAACTTCATCAGGGATCCTTGAGTCTTGTAAAGAAGGGGGCATTATGCCCCATTTAGTGCTAAGCATTCTGCAGTCTCTTCTACTCTATAACTTGGTCACTTGAGAGTCTATTTATCAGCATCTGCTGCAAAACATAAGTTTCTCAGCTGATCACTAAGGAATGTACTAATCTAGAAAGAAGATGATAAGTTATTAGCAGTCTTTTTAATACTATATGCATTTTGGAGAATAATAGGAATAGGTTCTCAACTGTGATCAGTGAACTCTCTTGCTATAAGTTTCTAGTCCAAGCATGGTGGCAGGTACAAGCTTCTCCTTGAAGAGTAGGCCTTACATCCAACCAGAAAGTGGTTGACTATTCCCATTGTGTTCATGCACCAGTGGGTATGTGCTGGAGCCCACTGGCAGAGTCAAACAGTTCCTGAGTGGGGAGTGAGGATTGAAAGAAAATTTAAACACACACACACACACACACACACACACACACACACACTACATATGAGATCAGTTCAAGAGGGCTGCCAGTAGAAACTGTCACACACACACATACTACACATGAGATCCGTTCAAGAGGGCTGCTAGTAGAAACTGTCACACCGGTTTATTCCTTTTTATAATCAGAGCAAAGCACCTCGATACAATGAAGGGGTTCATCGAGATGTCAAACTTGTTTGCCTCAACCACTTGTCTTTGTGATCCTCACACAAACAAAAGGAAATGAACTTGGCAAAACATCCTGCCTATCCCTGTCTCCAGGTGAAGGCAAGGGCGAAAACAATCAGCTCTCTACAGTTGTGTCTTTCTAATCAGTCATTACTATAGATTGTATAGCCTGTGGTATCAAGTAAGACTTTGTTCTCTCTTCACATGGAAGCTCCATGATAACTCAAGGAAATGTGGAATAATCTTGGATATTTTTTGTACCAGATGATATGAAGTGAAGTGTCTGCACTGTCTGATATTGTAGCGACCCTTCAGGTCCAGTTTTCTTGTTTTATGGAAAACATGTGCAGAAGATTAAAAAACTTGTCTGCTTACATTTTAGTTTAAATAAATTTTTTAATATCTCTACTGTAGTATTTGTAACTAGAAGAAATAATATATCCATTATATTGATGGCTTTTGTAAGAAAACTTAGTGAAATGTCATTTTTTTTTCTAAATCTAAGAGTGCTGTCTCTATCATTGCATATTTTCATGTGTCATTCCATATATATATATATATATATATATATATATATATATATATATATATACATATATATGTAATACTGACTTTATAAACTTACTATCCAATTCTTGAACCAACAATCTTCTTAGATATTTATCTAGTTAATGTTCTATTAGACCTAAACAGAATTCCATTTCTTTTAGTTCTCAACTCGGGTAAATGAACATGATTTTTTAATTTTTTTTCTTTTTTATATTTAAAAAAATTAAGTGATCTTACCTTGATTGGAGAGTGCTTCAACATAGTCATTTCTATTATCAACATGTCTTGTTCTTCACTAAAACCTTGAATGAATTATAAATTATAATGTAATAATAGCAATATGCATGTCACAATTTAAATTACATAGTGCTGAGTACTGGTAAGAATTGTTCAACAAAGTGTGATTTAGTTTCTATACTCTAGAAAGAGTTTTAAATCATTGCATTTAATATGTACTGGATTTTCAGGAATTCGCTGAACAATTATTTATAAATCTTTCATTCGACTGAAAAGTTTGCATTAATGGAATACTCTTGTTTAGATCAACTTGAAGTACATGCTTCAAGCTTAGCACGTTCTAGAAAGAGACATTTTGAAATCATCTTGTAGGAAGCTAAATCCTGTGAGACAGAGCAAAAGCTTGATCTTTGATCCAAGAAAACACACAGCAGTCTGACGTAAGGAAGTAGGCTTTTCATTGATGTTTACACTCCTCCAGAATTGCTCATATACTTCACAGTGTTGTGTCCTATTTATGTTGTGTCTTTCCCAATTAAATATTTCATTCAATGAGGTCAGGCTTGTTGGTCTTGATTGCTCACCAGTGTGGATCCAACACTTGCCTACATGGTTGGGTAATTAGACAAGGAAATACATATCAATTAAGTGGACAATAACTACTCCCTGAGGTGAGCCATAATTTTGGAAAAGCCATAGTTATTACTGATTGTTGGTGAAGTATTATTCACTTAATATGACAAGATTAAGCTATTTTTTCACTATTTCAGCATGACTTGAACTACATCTGAGAATAACTGCAAACCAATGGTGCTAGGCAGAATAAAAATTTATAAGAATATTCCTAAAAGATTCTGCTTTGCTTAATTTGATCTTTAAAATTTTCTTTGTGCAATTAACTAAAATGAGTGGTTCTGAATAGTAAATTCAGAAAAGCATTTTACAGTGAATGAGATAAGCCTATTAACTGAATTATCACATGGCTTTCACTGCTGAAGTCACTCCTAGTTTAACTCACTCATCTTCCTTATGCTATGTAGGCACACGGTAGTTTATAGTAAAACAATTTATCACATATCAATGGTAAAGAAGTTCCCATGTATTTTATGGTTATAGTTCTTGTCCATCTATGCATACTGGTCTTGATTGTGTCATATGTTTTTTATATAAGGGGCATATCTGGAAGCCTGCTGGGAATGTGGGAAAGGTGGTAAGGTTAAACATTATGCTACTAATATACATTTTCAAGATATGAAAACAATTCTGTTGCTCCTCAATTAGCAGTATTTCAAAAGTAACTGTAAACATTTTTTTCATTAGTGGTTGGCTGACCATCTCTTGATAATAAAACTTGGATAAAAACAATCACAGGTAGAATTGAGGAAGAAAACAAAACACTATTAGTCAACTTCCTATTGCTGTGACAGAATACTTGAGAAAATAACATTCAGAGGTGAAATTGGATAATTGATTTACAGTTTAAAATGGTTTCAGATCATTGTACCTTGAAGGCTTGGGGAAGAGGGAGAAAACGAATTAGTATCCTTGTGTCTCAAGAATTTTAGGAACATCTAGAGTCAATTTCACATATACCCCAATAGCAATGGCTCCTTCCACCATGTTCTTCCATGTATAGTCTTTATCAATTCATCATAAGGGTCTTCAAAACACAAGTATGTGCAAGTAACCCAGTTGTAAGCAAGAGCAATGAGGAATGCTTAGAGAAAATAGAGAACCTTTAAAGAGCACTGAGCTTAATTTCAACTTATAGTCGATGTACATGTAGACTGATTTATGTTCATTCTTCCAGTCTTAGTTACAGTGAGTTACAGCACATATCGTATTTTACTTTCAGATCCACCAT